GTGCGCTGACTCGTTTATACTTCATCCCACCTATTCCTCTCCGCATCCGTCATCACACGATATTCCTTGCGTAGTGCGCGTCCCAAACGTGCTCCACCGGGTAGAACACAGTTATTTCCACCGGTACCACCAAAGAAAGTACACAGACAAGCGATATCCATGCATTCGTAAGCGGTTCTAGGATTTTCCGAAACAGCCAGTGTGCTTATTCGACTAGTATCGGGGCCTGCTGGAGCTGACACCGAAGCTGTTGAAATCGTAGGTTGGTTCTGAACGGAAAACTTAGAACTGAAATTACACTTTGAGCTGGAGCAAGTTTGCTAACCCTGGCATTTGCACTCCATGCTGCTATTTGGCTACAAATGATTTGCAAGGCTTCAGTGGGTGCATTGTTACAATTCTGGCAGTAAGCTGTGCTTATGATAAGGGTCACAAGGACTAGAATTCGAGGCAGATACCGCCAGGACATTACCCTAAATAATCATAAAGATATCATTGAAAATTAGTGGTATTGAAGAGGAGTAGGATTTTAATGCCATGCAACTTGTAAATTAAGCGCATGGATAATAATATAGCCTTAACATAAGATTGGAAAAATTTATGGATGGCAAAAAATGGACGAAAAAGATTCCTATTTGCACCACCGACTGCAACCAAAATGCCTATATATTGATAGAAAGGTTTTGAACAATTTTTTGCGCGAGCGACAACTTTTGAGCTTTGTTTTCGGCCGAAAAATGCATCTACCTCTCGCCCAGTACACTACCTGAGAATGTACCCCATTCGAAGGAGTACGGTAGTGGGCAAGAGTTCGAAGTCAAATTTTTCAGTCACTAATGAATCACATGAGCTGCCGCTTGAACATGGGTTTAGTAAGGGCCTCTTATCACACACTTTAAAAATCTAAATACAGATTTCCCTGGTCTTCCCTGATTTTTGAATGTGTTGGCAAAAAATAACGTTTGATACCGATAAAAACTTGAGCTCCTCTCAAAAACTTACTGGGATCTTTGCAT